TCCAGGTGCTGGTATATGTATCGGCATCACTTTTGAGAAGAGTATCGGTCAAATTTCTGCTCCTTTTGACACCGTGCATGCTTATGCCCGTGTTAATGACTGTGCTCACCCTTTCTCCACGTAATAGTAAATCAGCATTAAAGCTAAACCATAAGTTGTTGGACTACGTTTTAAGATTAATGGGGCCCATTTCTTCACTTTCTTCAAGCTCTTATGTCAGGCAGCCACGTTACTGAGCCTCTTTCCTGTATCTGTTACACAATCGAGGCGCAACATTTTGGATCACCTACTGGTGGCTTACCCCAAGAGCTTGTATTGCTGACCTGATATAATCTTCCCTTCCTTTAATATCACTCATCCACTCATGTTTGTTCCTTTCCTTTTCGTACTTAAAGCCTATGGAATCTCTGCATTTCTTAGTACGTAACTCCGACCGATATTCCGATTTCATATCTCCAACTGCATATCCACAGTCAACGGCAATGTATATATAATCTTCAAGAACAGACTTCAATGAACGTTATTATTTGTCCTTTAATATATTTTGTTATGCCATCAAAATGTTTTTAAAAAAATCAAACAAATCTGAAAGATTTATTTTCTAAAGACGCATTGCCGAACTAGACGATCCACCACATTGGGATACGTGCTTGTTCCAACATGCATGGTGGTAGCTGATGTTTGCAAAAGAACCAGACAGGGTAGAAGTAGACAAGGAAACTTTTGGCAGTCCATCCTTCATGTCTGGATCTTCACCCCAGAAATGTCTTGCCGCCGTCTCTTGCGGTTTTAACTTCAAGGGTTTTTTAAGAGTGTGTGGGGGTTGTTTGTTTTTTTAAAGATTATATTGTCAAAGAATCCGAAGGTGCAGGAAATAGTTCCACGAGACATCTGTCCACTGAGTGGATTCATAGAGATCACACATTAATCAAGCCCTCACTACTTTCAGATTTTGCTTTCACAGTGTTTCACGGAGACTGGTTTTTGAGATGAGAGGGTTGTGTGCCTTTTTCAATACATGTGTTTTTAAGCAAACACTCACACCAGACAGACACATTGTTCTCGTATAAAAAAAGAAATTTTGGAGTAAAAAATAAGTGTTATACTGACATCATGTTCTTATTCTTTATGTTGCATTTATCTGAAAAGAAGAGAAATACCAATTTAGTAGCATGGTGGATTCAAATCAGTACCTTTGGAGCTAATATATTTGACCCATTATAAGTTAAAATACAAGTAGGGCATTCTTTACCATCCGCAGGCAAAATGGGACAAATATTCCTCTTTACCGTAAGCGATAAGGCTGCCACAATTAGAACCAATCACAAATCTACATCTATGAATGAGGGCAATAACAAAGATAGTAAATAACAAGATGGGCCACTCAGCCAAAAAAGTATCCGCAGGAAGTATGCTCTTTGCTTCAGATGGCGCTGCAGTCTGTTTTGAAGCTCTCTTTCGTTTTTCCAGAAGAAGAATAGGAATAGCACCTCCTTGCGTGCGCAGATCGACTGCTGTTCATCAGCAGTTCGGAAAATTTTTAATGACCTCTCGCCTTTCATTCTAAAGTCAAATTAAACGAAGAAAACAATCACCCTTTCCTCCAGAAGAGGCTTTTTGTCAGCGTAACCATTTTAAAAAAGCGTTCTTCCGAAATTTATCCCAAAACTTGCTGGTTTCACTTTGATTTTAAAAAACTCAAGTAGGGTAACTCTGTTCGCAAAGAGTGAGCTTTTGTGAAGAGGGCGCCACTAAATTTTGAGGACACTTTTTTAATTCGCTCAAAGAGAGAAGTGGCCCATCTTGTTATGTACTATCTTTGGCAATAAGTATGTTACTGTTGGAGACAGTATAGCTAGCGGTGCGTAGCTTAGTTTCAAAATGGTAAATTTGAATCAGTATTCTATTAAGAACAAGAATAAAAAAAAAATATTAGGGTATATAAATTAGCAACGCCAATTTAAAAAAAAATTAGTTACTGTTTAAAACTTGCTCTAACGGAGCACCCGATCTACGATCTTTCGGGAATGTTTTTACTTTCATTTTCAAGGAATGTCGAGTTAAAGGTTTGGTTACAACACATACAATGCCTTGATCACATTGCACCGAAATGCGACCGGAAAATCCCGCTGTGTTATAGACTAATTTTTTGCGGTTCCTTTATGAATTTGTTTTGTTTTACCTCTTTCTGTATGATAGATACTAGATCTACAGTAATGCATCCAACCTGTTTATGTGTATGCCATAAGAGACAAGGTGGGCAAATCCAGTTCAAACCGTTTCAAATAATAAATCAAAACTTAGGGTGATAATGTCGTGATTTTGGAATTGTGACAAACGCGATCGGAGACATTGACCCCAAACGAATGTAAACACAACAGTCCATTGCGGTGATTATGCTAGCCAGTTACCTGAACTATTTTTGCATGTTAAAACGGTATAAAGTTTACATGTAAATTATGTACAACGCCCACCCTTCTCAAAGAGGCATGGGAGCTAAATTCTCTTTTTAACTCCTAAAGTTTCCAAAAAGCCAAAGAACGCGACTTCCGCGCTCCACGGTCACGGAATGTTTGATTTTGCTTCAACTAAATAGGATTTAAGGATCTATATTTTTCAGCATCTAGAATCTAGATATTCCTCTTTTTCTTAACATGATCCTTTGTCGTCGTGCTGAGTTAGGAGGAAATGGAACCCTCTTTAGCTGACCTACTTATCAGCGAATCTCACGCTGAGCGACTACTTTTTTGTGCTGTGTATATACCAATTTTGACAGCAGATGTTATAAAGATGAAAAACTGGTTTACGGTTGTACAAAATGGCCGTGGAGAGTACAGAATCGTTGCGGCACAGGATTTTGAATAGATACCTCAAATTGTCAAAGAAAGGAAATGCCCCCCCCCCCAAATCCTTCCCCCCAAAAAGAAGAAAAAAGACCATATTAACAAAGACAGCAAGTACGTGCATTCCAGAATCAAAGGTGTAAGTGGGAAGAAATGATATTCAAATACAGGCTGCCTAAGATCAAAATAATGTGTTTTTAATGGACAAGGGGTATGCTAAGAGCATGATATGGTCAAAATACATAGAACAACTGTTTTACGCAGACAATGAAGGAGACAACTTTTAACTATGTTATAGAACAGGATAAAGGATAACTGACCACAAAAATCAAAATAAAAAAGGGCACACTGCCTTGAAAATGAAAATGAAACAAGGAAATACTGCAAGGTAGACACTTTTTCAATGGAAATTATTGCCTCATAACGAAAGCTCCTAGATTATATTGAAACAGTAGTGAGACCCTAGAAGATATGATTGAGTCAGTCTTTATAGATTTGCCTTAATCACCAAGTTTCACAGTGTATAAGTTGCAAAGAACAACGAATCCTTTTTCAAAATTTTTGCTGCGAGTACAATGGGAAGAATGAGAAAAAGTCTATGGCGTGAGATAAATAAAATACATTTTGGATTTGTTCCTGAAAGAGGAACTCAAAATTCTATACTCATTTATTATTATAATGGTAGGCCCAATAGGCGATGCATTGAAGCACAGAATGATAAAATTTTACACCTTATTGGTTATTCAAAGGCTCCTGAAAAAGTAAGACCTTATCAAGTATTTAAAATTTCGGAGAAGTGGGACGTAGAGGAAAATGATTTAAGAATTGTTAGAGATTTGTATTGGGAGCAGAATGCTGCTGTACAACTTTAGGGAGAGTACAACAACAACAACAACCCCCGAGTAAGTCAAGGCTGTGCTATGTCATCAGACCTCTTTAACATACAGTGAAACTATCCTTAAAAATATAGAAGAAATTCTTGTTCTCAAAGTGAATGGAGAAAAAATAAAAAACACCAGATATAATGGCAATGACTCCGTTTCAATTATAGATTTAGAAAAGAATCGTCCTCTGCTTCCTTATACTGTTGAGACGTAAAATGAATGTAATGGGTCATTTTTAATACCGAACGTGTGGTAAAAAACACTAGATCTAAATGCCATTCGTAATATCATAGGCTTAAATGAAAAGATTAAACGAGTAAAGCTGTAAGTTATATATTATATCATGATCATTAGATCTAGATTCGATGCTGAGTGTATCTCAAAACAGAGTAAATAACTATAAAAGATGAAGTTTATTTCTACAACTTGAGCCTCGTTCTGAAAAAAAGAGCCGTCTTAGTAACAACCAAAATGAGAATTTCCAAAGGCTCAAGCATGGTCAACCTTTCTATACAGTTGTGAATGATGGACCATTACTAAAGACAGTGGAAATGAACTATAACTAGAAGCAACAAAAATGCTATTTCTTTCAGTAGAAAAACGTGAACAATATTGCACGGGAGGAAGAGAAATCAAGTAAATCCCAAAGAAGCCCATGTGGGACGATCATTGATAAAAATAATGTGTGTAAATTGGTTAATATGTGTGTGCACGCACGAGTGTGGTTATTATGCATGTATGTATATATTTATGTATGTATGTTTGTGTGTATATATATATATATATATATATATATATATATATATATATATATATATATATATATATATATATATATCTGTGTGTGTGTGTGTGTGTGTGTGTGTGAGTGTGTGAACGACAAGTTGAATTTTTATCTGCTGGGTTCTGTAAAGACTCTGGTATCTATTAAGGGGTAACTTCCGCAAGGTCTATTTATTCCCCATGTAGTGCATAAAAAAGAAACCACACAGGAAACACGTGGATCGAAATCATAAAAACAAAACAATCCATTGTTGCGGAAAGTCCATGGTATGTGCCCGTCGAGACCCCCCCCCCCCCCCCCCCATCCACCAAAATATGACCTTCGAAGTGTACCTCTATTCATCTGATATAGCGGTATAGGCCATCTTACAAAATACGAAAACAAACGAGATAAAGCTCTCTGCGAATCGTTACTATCTACACCAGGCTGCATTTTTTAGGCGTTTCCTTTAAAAAATCAGCTTTAGACCGATAAGCACGCAAGTAGGTTTTCGATACACACAAAGCCCATTGTGTTCAGCATCTGTTCACTTCTAACGAGCTGAGTGGACGGAACTGGAAGCAAAATGATGAAGGCTGGCTTAGTTCTCTGTTTTCTGGTAAGTCTCCAATTATTATTCATTTCTCCTCTGGTAAAACTAAAGGAACATTGCGAATATTAGGTTAAAGGTTTGTAAAATGTTATTTTGACACTCCCTCCGTCACCCTCTTTCCTCTCCTCCTTAAAAAACTCCCCAGCGAAAACAAGAACATTATTTATTTTAAAAAGTAATGTTATAAGATTCTCTACAAAGCAGAAATATCTTATTTTAGTTAGTTTTTTAAAACCCGTGCAGTGTTGAAGCTATTCTTATTACTTTTGTTCAAAAGAGATAATGATATGTTCATCCAAACTAGATTTAAACAAGGCCATAATGTCCCTTTAATAAAGAGTGCATCTAACAAATTCTCAACAAACAAGGAGAAAAAATTGGCAGTTAGCCAGTTTAGGAGAAGACAAGCGATTATACTTTATATGTCTACACAGCAGTGTAGAAGTCAATCTGATTAATTTTGTTTAGAACAACACACAACTCAAAATGAAGAATTGTTCACCGCAAGACGATTAGCCGCTTTGATTAAAAAGGTGACCTTCGCTTTGCCTCACCAAATTTGACTTATGTGTTGCAGAATCAGATCTTTTGTTTAATCCCGGAATGCTTTGGGCCCTTCTTATGGACTTCCGGGTCAAATTAGGTGAAACAAAGCAGAGATCAATTTGAGAGTGCATTGGCGCTGCCATTTAATCGGCCCGACCCGACCCGATCTGACAATGCAGGCGTCGGTGGCCTAGTGGTTAGGCTCTCGGACTCGCAACCGTAAGGTTATGGGTTCGAATCCTGTCAGGGGTCCGACGTTGTGTCCTTGGGAAAGGCACTTTACACGAATTTTCCTCACTTCACCCAGGTGGGAATGAGTACCCGGCTATTGACAGCGAAAGATCTTGTCAGTTTGTTAGTGTTTGAGCGTTTAATCAGCTGCTTGCACTGTATGCTTCCCGGGAAGCTGAGAATGTTTCGGAGTGTTCTATGGTCTGCTGAGGTAATGATATAGTGTAAAGCGCATAGAGCCTGCTGTTGAGCGGGGATATGCGCTATATAAATGCTATTTATTATTATTATTATAAAATTAATTGACCTACTCTAGTGTTAATTGCTCGGAGTGCGTAAACATGCAAACATATTCAGGAGACTTTCAGTTTCAGTAGAGATTTGTTAGTACATGTGCCCCTTGGTTGGAGCAGATCGGATCAATTCGGGTTGATTAATGTACTTCCTGTGCACACTAAGAAAAGACATTTCCCTTGTTGTGTCAAATTTGACCCAAAAGTTAAAGAACTTTGACTGGGCATCCTGCTTATAGTAGATAGAAGTAGTATGAAAGCCAACAACAGCAATAACAACGATAGCAACAATAATAACAACTTAAAAAAAACCCCCAATAACAACTACAACAACATCATCCTCATCATTATTAACAACTACAACAACAGTATCATCACCATCAAAGACAGCAACAACGACCAGCAACAATAACAACAACAACAAAAACAATAACACTGACAACAACAACATCATCATCCTCAACGATCACAACACCAGAATCATCATCAACAACGACAGCAACAACGACATCAACTACAACGACATCATCATCTTCATCATCATCATCATCATCATCATCATCATCATCATCATCATCATCATCATCATCATCATCATCATCATCATCATCAATAATTTATGTTCTTGCAGGCTGCCCTCAGCGGAGCTCAAGGTAAGCTACTTGTTTTGTTGTTTCATTTTATTTTGCATTAAAAATATTCCTTTCGGGTCTCTCCAGAGTCTGGGCATTCTGTTACGATGTGTCTAATGGTAAAAGCTGTGTCGCATCCGACACAGAACGCTTGACCGTAAACCCATATTTTCAGAAAGAGGATGTCACGCGTGCTGCCTTATCTTTGCTGGCCAACAAAGTAACAACGATAACTGTGCCTGTTGTCCCACAAGTAGAACAAAAAACCTATTTTTTAGTGTGTGTGTGCGTGCGTGTGTGTGTGTGTGTATGTGTGTGTGTGTATGTGTGTGTGTATGTGTGTGTGTGTGTATGTGTGTGTGTGTGTGTGTGTGTGTTTATGTGTATGTGTGCGTGTGTGTGTATATAAACATA